ATGATTGTCTGATTCAAAATGTTCAAAACCAATCCATTTCAGCTCACTAATGCCTAAGATACCAATCTTTATGTGTTCCATTTCATTTTTGACAACTTCCAATTTTCCTAGATTCATACTTTGTACACTCTGTGTTCCGACTATTAATGGATGTTTGCAGCTGTTTCTTCTCATCTTGAGTCTTCCCACATCAGCAAATGGAGGTTCCGAAAGTTTTATTCTATCCACATCATTAAGGTTGGCTCTACTCTGAGGAGGGAGCTCTTTGCCAGTTATATTTTGAGTGCTTTTTACCTAAGGGGCTCAACTTCCAGCACTCTATCAGACAATGTTTCAGTATTCATAAGGTTTTCACTGGCCAATTGTTTGAGAAGTCAATGGCCTCCTCCTTCTTCCAAGTCTGTCTTAGCAACCACCACAGTATGACAAACTGATAGAGAAGTTTGTCTCCTTTACTTGTTCCAAACCACTCCACTCACTTCCTGGTCTTCCTCAGCTGCTCCGAACCTGCTGCCCCAGCTTGCTTCCTTCCTGGCCTCCCTCAGGCACTCTGAATCTGCTGGCCTACTTCACTTCCTTCCTGGCCTCCCTCAGGCACTCCGAACCTGCTGCCCTGCCTCACTTCCTTCCTGGCCTCCCACAGCTGCTCCAAACCCACCATGCCACCTTGCTTCCTTGCTGGCCTCCCTCAGCCACTGCAATACGATTCTGTGGCTTTTAGTATATTCACAAAGTTGTATGACCATCGTCACTATTATCTAATTCCAGAACATTTCTGTACCCAGAAGAACCCCTGTGGTCACGAGGAGTCACTCGCCATTCCTGCCTCTACTGGCAATCACTGGTCTATGTTCTATCTCTATGGCTTTACCTTTTCATAGAAACTGGAGTGACACAATATATAACTTTCTGTTTGTCTTCTTTCATTTAGCATAATGTTTTCAAGTTCATCTGTGTAGAAGCACACGTTGATTCTCCATTCCTTTTTATGTCTGAATAATATTCCATACACGTATAGACCATATATTGTTTATCCATTCATCAGCAGACAGGTACTCAGGTTGTTTCTACTTTATGAATGCTGCTGAAATGACTACTTATGCATACATTTTTGTGTGAACATGTTTTTGTTTCTCTTGGATATGTACCTAGAGTGGAACTGCTGAATTGTATGGTAACTGTAAGTTTAACTTTTTGAGAAACTGCCAAATTGTTTTCCAGAGTGGAT